CCAGCTTGATAGCGACGATGCGTGCGGTTCAACTTGAAAGGCGCCATGCGCCATAAGTGGAGACAGTGCCGAGCATGAGTGTGCTAAGGCCCCCTTTTTTTGCGTTTAACGAGGTCCAAGTGGCAGTGCGTGCCGCTTGCCGAGGCTACGGCTGCATTTTGCACAGCGTCATCGCCGTTCCCAAGCGAACTGCCATCGCCGTTGGGAAAAAAAATGTGCCCCCGCGCATCGCATACGTGGAGGCCCTTCTGTCATGCGAAAATGCGTAGCATTCGCAGGGGTGTGGGCACGCCTTTTTCATTTCCATCGCATGCATACCGCGCCTTTGGCCTGAACAGTGGGCCCCCCTTGGTGACGCCAGCCGCGCCCCATCTTGACACCAGGAATAGATACCCCCCGTATTGCCGAGGGGGGTCAGGCGTTGGCAACGTTCGCTTCATGGAGAACTTTGCGTTGGCACGCCCACGGCATCGCCCGGTTTGAGGGCCAGCCGCGACCCGCTGGGACGCAGTGTTGTTCCTCGTCGGCCTTGGGGCGCGTGTGCTTCGCCGGCTGTGCTGGAGGAATGGCGATCCACACGAAATTCAGGCACCCTGACGGACCCCATCGGGCGACGCAGGTGCCAGACAAAGCCACACTGAGCCCCGCCAAGTAAGAGAAGGAGAACGCTCCCTCTCCAAAGACTGCCGCGGTGACATGGGAAGCCCTCGATAAAACAAGAGAGAGCTGACCCTTCAGCACCGGAGCGGCGGAAGGCAAAACAATGCATGAAATACTTAAAATGGTTCGCCCAAGTAGACTCCAGTAATGTCGCACTGAAGAAGATTCCCGGAGACAAAAGGAATGCCCACCAATGGGAAACACCGGAGGCCACAGGATGATATTCCTGTGAATATGCCCCTCGCTGGCTTTGTATGCCCGACATGTGGGCACCCTCCCGATGCCGCGGTAAAAATTGGCCCACAAGACGCTACATGGTTAGACAAGGTAAGTGGGGGCCCGAGCTGCCTCGCCCTAAAGAGTATCTTATGTCACTTTGCTGGGGAGAGGGGCAATGCGAAGAAGCTGTTCTCTTCCCAAAAAAAAAATAATCCCCAGCACCTTCTTGCAGTAGAAAGGCATTGTGCCCAGCGACCTTCCCATGCGGATACGGCGTCTACCATGAAGAACCGGGGGCAGTACATCTCCACCCTATTTGCTTCATTAGTTGATCGTTTCCATGTTGTACACAACATCAAAATGCACCGTCCATCCACAGTGCTTTACCCAAGTCTGGGCCCAGAAGGCCTGTGGGACCCCCCTCCCCCCGGGCGTGGGGGGAGGAACGGCCTCCCGAATCCTTCAACACACGGTTTCCCCCACAGGAGAGGCAGCAACTCTACGTATAGCAAAATGCAACAGCAAGCAAACCGACAATAAAAACACTGAAACAAAGGGCCTCTATTTTACATCATCGATAAACAGCGATTAAAGTGTCCCACGGTGACGGCTGGTAGAACGGGGTCGTCGACGAGAGTCGGAAAAAGACGAAGAAAACAAGGTCTCATCACTACATCAGGTAATGCTGATAAGTGGCGCAGTGGCCATGCGACGATGTGGTAAACAGTCTCTAGTCACAGTTTCTATGATATGCGGTGCTGTTTGGTAGTGTGGCCTCGTTAACCGTTGATCTGTGCGAAAAATGATTGCCTTCAGCGAAGAGCATAAGATTTCTCTAATGATCAAAGCGAGTGAAACTTGGCGCCTGTTGTTCCATGTACTGTTAAGTGCACATCAAAGATACTAAAGAAGATGATGATAATCTGAAGAGAGGAAAGAGAGACTCAGTGGTGTGTACGAGTATATGGCATTTAACAGGTGTGAATAGGTTTCAATGTTGCATAATTGTCCATGGGATTTACAGCATGTGAAGGCTCCCGTAACCATATAATTTTCTTTTCTTGCGGCTTCGTCGGCTGTTCTTTGTTTCTGTGGAGTTCCCATCAAGTGTGGGGCGTAAGTCAATAACAAGGGTTAGGGGATGCATTTATAAATATCTTTGCGAAGGCTGTACAATTGATGGGTGAAGTTGAACTGAGTATCTAATAGAGTGCACAAACTTAACAAATGGAAGTGGTGCGGAGATTCAACGCACATGAACGAAACAGATGAAAAAAAAAATGATATCTCGTATTGGCTACGGTACAAATGTCCACATACATTGGGGGGACTGGAATGGTAATGCCTCTCTGTCATGAAGACGGCTATCGTAGCTCTTCCTCTAACAGCGAAACCGGCGGCGGCGGTGTGGCACTTTTTGTTCGCTGTGGCATCTTTGGTCCAAAAACACGCCAGAACTTGAGTGTTTCGTCCTGCGCGGCGCAGATACGTTCCATATCTGGGGCCAGTGTGATGCAGGAAATGCCCGCGTCACAATTTGGCGAATTGAGTGTGCCGATAAGGTGGAACTTGGAGGCATTGCGTACCTGAATTTGCCCCTTCCCACGGTGCGATGTCGCCAGTTCGCCAACCCCAGGCGGCGATACGATGCCACTGATGGGATGAAGCGTGTTAATGGCACGCGTTATGTAGTGCGCGCCCATTCCGATCGCATCTTCCTCCCCGCGCGTGGCCGACGGAACATTTGTCATGGGCGCGTGTGTGTCCACGTAACACAGCATGCCGTCCTGTCCACCCGTGAACATCTTGCTGCGCTTGTCGGGGTTCCACAGGATAGTGTTGACGGCACCCTGGTGTACACGATCAAAGGTGTAGCGGGGGCAGCTGCTTCGCCGCGCGTCCCACACGCGAACGGCGCCGTTTGCAGACCCAGAGGCTAAATAAAACGGCTCCTCCGTGCAGTAGTGAAGAGAAGTGATGCCACTCGTGTGACCCTCGTAAACAGAGATTAGCGCGTGCTTAGCGCGGAGGTCAAATACATAGACGCCTCCACAATTTGTGCTGGTACCAATGGCGAGAAGCGGACCGTTTACTGCAAGATTCGTAAACTCAGCTTTGGAAGGGAGCCTCACTCGAACTGTTCGCAGAAACTCTTCCCGACGGCAGTCATAAATGGCAGTGGTCCCTTCGTCAAGAGCAGCAGCAACACAAGTACACCTATGTAACCAATGTACCGAGCGAATGCGCATGTGATCCTGCAGCTGGACAATTCTGGAAGCTTGCGCCGTTTCAGAGTTCCATCCATAAAGGGAGTTTTTTAAGCCAATAACAAGCTTGTTGTTGCTACCCCAGTGAAGGAGCTGTGCTGCATCCACTGGAAACTCTGGTGCGTCAAGCACACGCTCTGGATTTGTAAAAAGAACCCGCTGTGTTGTGGTCTTGTTGGGTTTGAGACGCTTCAGAAGTAATCCATTTCCAACTGGTGAGGACGTAAACAAAGAAGAGGTGAGCCCGCACCCCGATCTCGTGCTGCTGTTTGGCTCGCACGGCTTGCCGCCACCGTCACCACGCGATGGCACAGTACCATCACCACCACTCCTAGCGCTTACAGCTCTACCAACATTTAATGATCCTTTACGGCCACCAGCGGTGTCTGTGTTATCAAAGCGCAGCACCTCCCCACCAATTTTGCGATGTCTCTGCATGCTCTCGCTACTTAGCTGATCAGCGAGGACCTCGTTGTAGATGGACGTGACATAGGACGAATCGTCCGATACGAAGGACTCGGAAAAGGCGCTAGAGTACGATGTCGCGGTGGAATGTGGAATCGACATTCCCCCGGCGGTGCCGGCGCCACCTCCTCCAGCTGTTGTGACTGTGGTTGTTGTGGTTGTCGGTGTTGTGAGGTTGTAAGCTGAAACAGCCATGTCCATTCCCTCGCGTTGAGGTATGTGCCTCGACAAGCGGACGGGTGGGGCGTCATCATCGTCATCGAGAGATCGGACAAGTAGTTGCAAATTATTGGCGGATATTTCCTGCAGGGACATACTGCCGCCGACACGTGACCGCCGCTTACCAGAGGGGCGACCAGAGGGGGTCGAGTCTAGTTCTGCTAGTGCCCACTGCCGCATTCTGTTCCTCTTGAGGCGGCGCTCTCTTTTCTCCCCTCCACAATCCTTCTTTCTTCCTTAACTTTTGTTTCATCGTTGAAGTAACAATTGAAGTGAGAGGCACGATACAGGAGGTAGGGAGAGAAAAAACGAAAGTGAATATGAGCCCCCCCCCCACTCAAAAAAAAAGGGGAAATGGTCACCACCGCTCAGCGAGAGAAATTTCCAGCTTCTCACCAAAGACCTATCGTAAACCATACTTACTGCCCTGGTGTGGGCCGCCCTTCCTTTCCACTCTGAATCGCACTTTTGTGTTGTGGCCACGCCTGCCCCCAGTTGCGCCAAAAAAAAAAAATCCCGCGATTCGGCATCATTGCCACGTCCCCTTCTCCATCTACAGAAATGCACACACACAAACACATTCACACAAATAAGCTCACTCTTTGTTCGGTTTCAATACTCTCGCCGTTTGAAGCATTTGTCCTCACACTTCCTGTGGGGAGGGTCAATAGGGTTAAAAAGGTCTCCGTGGAGTGCATTCTGCCGCTCAGCAAGATGCAGGCACAAATGACGCATGAGATCGTACATATGCCCGTCGCTGCCCGGAGCCCGAAGCGACTCGGCAAAGAACGGGAATATATCCCAATAGTAATCAGGTGGCACAAAGAAACCGAGTCGTGCAAGTAGCACAACCGCAAGAACATCTCCTGATAACACAGAAACAAGCACGGGCTTGGCGGAATGGGTGAGCATATTCTTCACAGGGTGCACTGGCCGATCATCTCTGAACTCGAAGAAGTGCACAAACTGCTCGAACTGCGTGTGACGTTTTTTCCATCGTTTAGAGATCTCCGTGAAGATACGAGTGCGGTTGTCACGTACCCAGTCGAACTTTAGCATAGAGTTGAGGGCCTGCCATTCTTCATGGGCCGTGACGCTGGGGAGCGGGAGGTGGTACCCTTCCCCACATAGATACTGCCGGATGCGGTCCACCACGCTGGGGTGCCGCTCCGCCAGCGCGCGGAGCCGCAGCGAACTCTGCCGCGCCTCAAACACGAGCGCCAGCTGCAACAGCCCCCGCAAAACGTCACCCGACTGCAACAGCGCGGCACCGAGACGGCTGGAGGCCGCACGCCGCACGGCGCTGGCGACGAGATCGCGGATGCCGGCGCACGCCTCCGGGCCCTCCTGGCATTGAATGCAGCGAGGTGATTGGCCGCGGCCGGTGACACGCCGTTGCCCACTCTGCACGAGTGACACGACGTGCCCGACGTTAAGCAACTCGAGAGCGTGGGGGAGTTTTAGCAAGGCGGCAAAGTCAAGAGGAACTCGCAGCGTCGGCTGGACCTCTGTTAAGGGCGCGAAACAAATGCTATCAGCGACGCTCGGCTCTATCTCCTTCAGCATCGCACGGCTGTACGTGAGACGGTGGATTTGGGCACGCGCAAATGTCGGAATAAACGGTGACGCATCGGGATTCATGTGAAGATGCGCCTACGAGTCGAAGAGTAAATAGTCAAAAAAAACGATTAGGAAATAAAACCTCTGGCGCACTGAGACTAAACATGTATATGAAAGCGAACTGAATATAACAAACACTCCCCTACCCATTGAAACGACACACTTTCAGTCAGTGCACTTTGTAGACTGTACAATCATGACTCTCGGACAATTTGAACTGAACAAACAATCAATCAAAAAAGAAATTGCAGTCAAAAAATGAATGAGATGCAAGCCACAGCGGTGACAGTGGTTGAATGCAAACGAACCGAACTCCCTCTGCTATACATTGTGTGACGTCTCAAGCATGTGTTTCTTTTTTTTTAACCCAGAAGGAATCAAGGATTCTTTTTCTGCTAGTTGCAAAAGAGCATTCCACTTCACATGAAGCACCAAATGAAGGCCGCGGCTGCCAATATAGGGCACGGATCAGTAATTGTCTTCTGTCCCTCCCCATCTCAATGCGCTTTGCGCGCCACAACTTGATCCGGAAGAAAGCGCCTCTGCCGCACCCATGGCGGCTTGAAGGTGTACATAATATGCCCGTCGTCCGTAAGAATGTCCCAACCTTCATTAACCTTCCTCAAATCAAACGCTCGCACTGCTTCACTTCGCTTCAGTGATGCGTTCATGTATCGCATCACCGTTGTTGTGTTGCGCACTCTTTCGCGTTTAATATAGACCACAATGAGATCCTCGGCAGTGGATATGACCATCGGGTCAGTCTCCGGCCAGTCACGCGCAATGGTGCGGTACAGCGCGGCGACGCAGTCACCCAACATAAATCGCGTCGGTTTCTCTAATGCTCGCCCCCCACTCGGAATGAAGGGTCGTCCCAACCGTTTACTGTCACTGATGAATCGTTGTTGCCGCTCAATCTCACGTTGGCGATCGTACGGGTCTGACACCGGCTGGTACGCGGTATAGGGATCCTCGTAGCGATGATGGCGCATGTACGCGCTCGATGATGTCGACAGTGAATCTGTGCTGCACTCTCCTTCCTCGTCTTCCACTTCTTCCTCACGATCAAACATCATGTCCTCACGTGCTGTGCCCTCTTCATTCCGTTTGGGTGGTTCAGCGTGTCCGTGTGTATGCTCATCACCGTCGCCGAGGAGGACACCACGTGGCACCTCTGGCGTGCGACTCCCTCCAGACGCGGCCCGCAGCGGCGGAAGTGCAGATAAATGCACAAGAAAAGGGGGGTCGTGTCGGTCGTTGTTGCCGCTGCCGATGTTGTTGCCCCCTGATGGTGATGGAACACTGCGACTCACCTTAGCGCTCAATCGTCGAGTGTTGCGGGGAGGCATCCGCTGTACACTGTCCGTTTCCTCTCTTGTTTCAACGCACCCACAAAGCTGCTGTGCTTTCACTTTTTTGTTATTATTATTTCCGTCACCTTCCGGTCTCTTGAGTCTATTATATCGGAATTTTTTTTTTGCTCCCTCTACTCGTATTCTTGGGGCTGATCACACCACGCCCTTATCTCACTCCCCGACAGGCCCTTTATGACCGGAGTGAACAATCCAGCGACACGCGCCCGCCCCCTCCCACTCTCTAAACGTTTCCCTCCTCGCCTTAATCCCTGCACCGGAAATAAATAGACCAAATGAATGAACAACCACAACATGCAGTTTGCGAGCAACTCACAACAGGAATGCCGACCAGGAAAAGACAAAATATATAAATAAAAACATCAAAAGTCATGAAGAAGAAGCATACTGATGTGTGATGAAAACCGAAATTATGACCCACGAGCAAAAACTGACATTTTTTTTTGTTTTACGGGCATAGGCCAGGTTTGACAGCCCTCCTCCCCCCGAAATAACATAGAATAAGAAGCATTTCTTTGAATATTCACAGCTCAGATCTGGCTGCCTTTGAATTCCTGACTTTGCAGAGAAAGCGTTGAAGGCGGCGTGCAAGCTCACCCCGTTCTTCATACTCAATGTTATGCGTTCCAGTCTCAAACCACTCTGCTTCCACGAGCTGGTTGTTGCCATGGACCCTTTTCGTCTTCTCTATTGTTTCCAAAAGAGCTACTGAGCAGCGAAAGGGTACCACATTGTCCTTCTTCCCATGCATAATGAGCACAGGGCAGCCGCTGACCTCTTTAAGACATTCGATATTACAAAACATGTCCGGAAAATGAACCCATCTCAATACTGGTGACAGGAAGTCAAGCACCCCCAGACAAGAAGTGAAGGTGGAGAGCAGGACAAGGCCACCAATCTCCTTGTGATGCTTCTTCGCCAAGTAGCACGAAGGCCCGCCACCCATTGAGCGGCCCATGACGATGATGCGGTCTGGTTGGATCTTCAGTGTTTTTGTGACTTCAGTGTACATGGCCTCCGCGTCGTCATAGACGGTTTGTTCTGTTGGGCATTTTCCCTTTTCTGGCGCCTTGGAGGAGCCGTAGCCACAGTAGTCGTACGCGACGACGTCAACGCCCACCGCTCGGCTCAGCCACTTCAATTTCTCATGGCATGTATACAAGTCTTCTGCATTTCCGTGGCTGTAGAGTATTGTCAGAGGCTTATCTTCTGCACTGGCAGCAGAGGCCGCATCGTATTTTACGTACAAATAATAAATTTTCGCATTGCCTTCCCTCTTGACAACAGACAAACTGTCCCCTATCGGACTTGCCCGGGCCCAGTGCCCTGGACCGGGTGGCTGGAAGACGAAATAGCTCAACATGAAAAACTTCCAAAGGGAAAGAAAAAGAATAGGGGAAACAAAACAAATGCCGAGTATCACACGCGTCCATACGCATACGCATTTGCACATGCAAGTCCATGCGCACGCAATTACCTCATGTGACGCTTGCCTACACTGTATATTTAAAACGATGTCTCATTAAACCCCCCTCCCCCACTCTGCAGAGAGACACATAGAATCACCTACGCGCCATCTCATTCTTTTCACAAAGCGACATTTGTTCCGGGTTCGGGGGACATCGCATTCTCCTACTCTATGGGGCATATGTTCTCAGATGGATGTGCACTGAGAACAGTAACTCAAAAAAGAAAAAACAGCAAATAGTAATAAATATTAAAAAGGAAAAGAAATAACATGAATGCTTTTCTTTGTCCTTTCCTTTATGTCTCAAGGAGGGGTGTAATCAGCGGATCATGCATTATTTCCACACGGAGGCGCTGTCGCACCGCCTCACCCTGGTCATCTGCGGCCGTCCCGTCGAGTTCACGTATGCGTGCCGCGTACCGCGCAACTTTCTCCGCAACGTCTGCGGTAGCAGCCGTGAGAAGTGCGTGGGCCCGCTGGCGCCCCTCGTCCTGCTCGAAGTCCTCCAACTCTGTGGCCTTGCACTTCGCTGCCTGCACAACTTCATGGGGGAGGTTTGCCAGCTGAGCAACGTACAGCCCATAGCTGCGCCCGCAGGGGCCGGGCTCGAGCTTGTACGAGAAGCGCAGCGTCCCCTCGGCGGTGTTGACGTCCGCGCCAAAGTGGACGTTGCACACATTGGCATGGTTCTCTGCGAGCTGCGTCATCTCGTGGAAGTGTGTGGAGAAGAGCAGTGCGGCCCTCGCCTTGACTGCCACCTCCTGTGCGATTGCCCACGCGAGGCCAAAGCCGTCGTAGGTGGACGTGCCGCGGCCCAACTCATCCACGATAGCGAGAGAGTCACGCGTGGCGGCGGCAAGGATGGCAGCAGACTCCAACATTTCCACCATGAACGTTGATACGCCTTGCGCGAGGTGGTCCGTCGCGCCGACGCGGCACATGACGGCATCCCTCACAGTCAGATCGGCAGAGTCGGCAGGTACAAAACAACCGGCCTGTGCAAGCACAACGCATATACCAACACTGCGCATAAACGTGGATTTTCCGCCCATGTTAGGTCCTGTGATGATGAGGGCATTGACGTCATCCGACAACCGCACAGTGTTCGGCGTGTAGCTTGGTTGACGGATCTCAACAAGCGGGTGTCGGGCATTGACAATAGTGAGGATGTTGCTCTCACTGCCGTTTTTAGTGTTGCATTGGGCCTCTTCGGTTGGTGAAGGCCGAACTGTTGGACGGACCATAGATTGTGGGGAGTCCTTCACAACTAGAGCCCAAGCCACAAAAACATCCAGTGCCGCGATTAACTCCTTCGCGTCGTCGAGGACGGGCAAATACGTTACAACAGTGTCTACAAGCTTCTGCTTAAGGTCTTGCTGTCGTGCCTCATAATCCTTGCGAATGCCCTTATACTGTTCACTCAACGTGGAGAGTCTCTCCGACACGAACCGCACACCATCCTTGGAGGTACTAACTGTGATGAGCTCGTCGTTCGCACGCACCTGCTGGTCCTCCTTGCGCGAGACACGAAATACATATCCGTATGTGGTGTGGTACTCACACTTTAGCTGCTTCTCCGTCCACTCATACCTTTTCATTGTACTTTGGTGCTCTTTTTCAATGGACTTGGCAACCTCCCTCCGCTGCTCCTCCAGTGTGATGAGATCATCATCAAAGTTGGGGTTTATACGTGCAGTGTTTTCATCCGATAGGTCAACGGTGGCGCCAATGAGGGTTCGGAGGTTGGAGAGATGCTCGTTTATGTCCTCCAACGGAGCGATGTATTCGTCCATCAGCAGTTTACCATTTCGCCCACCCTGATGTGTGCGAAGCACCTGCACTGCCTGTGGGATAGTGTTGACAAAGGCTAAAATCGACTGCATGTCTTTCAGAGCAACCGTACGACGCTGCAGCTTGCGATTCAGACGGTCCATATCACTGCAACGCCGCAGGACTTGTGAGATGAGGGCGTCCCGTAGGATAGGGCTCTCCACCATCATCTCAACGAGGGAGAGACGTTGATTAATATCATCTGTATTGCGCAGCGGCTGTAGTAGCCATTGCCGCATCATACGGGACCCCATACCAGTTGTGCAACGGTTTAACCATGAGTAAACAGAGGTTGGGAGGGAGCCACGCACTTCTGGCTTCTGGTGAATAATGTGCAGCGCCTGAATTGCAGCCGCGTCCAGTTTCATGAACGTGGAAGGGATCGTGTGCTTCAGGTAGAAGGCACGGTGGTTCGTGGTGTCGAACGGGTCAATCATACTAGAGAGGAGATGCTGAAGCGCGTGCGATGCCAGGGGATACTGAGATAGAACTAGACGATCTTCCGGAACGCGGAGTATGTCGTCAAGTGCGCTAAGAGAGTTGCCCTTCACCACACCACCCTCGCGCTTCACCTCTTGTTGCCTCTGGTTCTGCGATGAGATGGCACCATCTCGTCCCAACTCGCGGTATGTAATGTTGGCCCGCTCACAGAGCTGCTTTACCGTGCGCAGCGACTCCTCCTGTCCGGCTGCTGTTGCCTTACCACTGCTATTGCCAACGTACAAGAGTTCTTTCAAGTTACACTGTGCCATCAGCGCGTCGAGGCTGCTCAGCTGCAACGTGTCAAGGTACTCCGCGTACGTCAATGTCCGCAGTGTGGTGTTTAACGCGGCAAATCCTACTCGCATGCCTTGTCCACCTGCTGCTACGCCCTTCCCAGTGCCATTGCTCTCCAGCACAATTGCTCCTGTTGCCATGAGCTGAATCTCCGCCTCCTCAAATGCGAATAGTGTTGCCTCAAAGTCTGTGATGTGCCCAGGTGAGCCACGCTGCACGCAGGCGTACGGCCCACTACCACCAGACGGCCGCTCGTAGTACTCGACACAGACGCCACGCCGCAGCAGGCAGTCGCGTATGACCTCCCTTGCAATGGTGTCCTTCACCACCACAACGTCCACGCCGCCCCAGTTCTTCAGAAGTGCGATGGATTTGATATACTCGCGCGCAATGACACCGGCCCACCATCCAAGCGCGTAGCAGCTGGGCATGGATCCGTTGCGAGCGAAGAAGCGCACGCAAGTCTTGTCATCGCCACCAGCGGCTGCGAAGGCCTGCAACACCGTCGCGTCGCGCTCATCACTCATTGGTTACCTCTTCCTTTAAGGACCAATAAAAGGTAAGAGGGGTGAGTGGTGGCACAACAAGTGAGGAAGAAGGGGAGTGAGGGTTGTTCGTTGTGTGGTGCAGCGCAACCGATATGCTCACTCACACATCCAGACAGAGATAGTGGCAATATGATGCAATGCAAAACAACAAAAAAAACTGCTCTCCTCTCCTCTCCTCTCACTCACACAACGGAGGCACACCAGGTGTGTCCATCATTGCGGAGTTAAAATAGCAGCAACTGCAAGCTCCCACACATGCACGAACCATCGATACGCAAAAATAACTTCTAAAATAAAAATACGACACATGACCAGTCATCCTTCAGCAGGAACAGCGGCAAAGACAAGTACAGGAGTATATTCGAAACTACGAAAGCCCTGACACGCACACTTGATTCAGCACCGATGCTGCAACTGCGACTGTGTGGCACTGCATGACCTCCAATACAGCGGGTGGAGCGCACGATGTGCCCAACAAGACACAATCCACATATGTTGTGCAGTGAAACACTTCTCCAGGCCTGACTGATGGGCATGATGTCTGCCATAACGTGAATGCAACACCGCCCACTGCCGTGTCGTTCCCCTGAGTGTTGCTTAATGGAGGCGGCAGTCGACGAATGGAGTACGTGGCAATCACCACAATGGCCACCACAGAGCCGGCGACGTACGCGGCCAGCAGCACTGCCGACCACCACGTGAGCTTGCCATGTTCTGCGAAGCTGCAGCAGTCTGTGGTCTCGACACTCGGTATTGCTGCATTCTCCACTGGCGTCACCATTGTGGAGGTGGAGGTGGCTTCACCACTGCCGGTGTCCTCGTCGTCCTTCAGTGGCTTACTCATATGATAGCAACGCGACTATATCCTTTTCTTCCCCCCTTCGATAAACCAAGGCAAGAATAGCAACACAAAATGAAAAACTTCACAGGTCCACCACCAACTAGACCACCACATTTTCAACCACAACCAAGCAATTCCCGCACCTCAATAAAGGGAGGAGTACCTTTTGCTTCGCCTTTACGTTAACTTACCAACACGCGGCCAACAGAGCTAATCACCACAGAACATGCATGAAGACACATCACAGGGAGAACACATATGTGAATACACAGAAGCAAACCGCCAACATGGAACGTGCCGATCTGCGCACGCGCAACCATCTCTTCCTTCTTTGCTCCCCCTCCCTCTCACTACCTTTTTTTTNGCTTTGTCCTTTGCCTATCAATTCCACCACGACTGCAGCAGGAAAGAGTGGTGCGCAGCAATCCCCTCTCCCTTGCCTCGGCTCTAAAACTCTTCCTCGTCTTCCTCCGCCGCCTCTCCCTCGCGCTCCGGCATCTGCAAGCCGAATATGGGCGTGCGCAGGACGGGGGACAGTGTGGGCAGCACTACTGAAGCGCCCTCCGCGACCGGATCACCGCTGAGCACGAGGAGGCTGAGTACCATTCCTGCCGCCACAGAGGGGATCCACCAGTTCAGCTTCGAGACCAACCAGTCTGCGCCGTGGTCGAAGAGGTGGCGCAGCCTCTGGTGGAAGTACATCTCATCCCAGTTCACCTGGGGCGCGGGCGGACGGCCGAACATCATTGTTGGAGCGGACTTGCTTACAATGCACAACACCTCTGCCCCCACACAGGCGACAGAGCAACAGCAAAGCGAAAAAAAGGAAGGGTGAGGAAGACGAGTGCAAGACAACGCAGGAATACCCCCCACAGCCACAGATATACACCGCTGCATGTTTGTTGTAAGAAGAGACAAACTGATGCCAATTACCGAATGGAAACAACACACCGTTCCTCTTGATTAGTGAATCACCCAAAACGAAGCGGCGAGGCCAAAAAAGCAAAAGAAACACCATAAGGCACAAAAAAAATATTTATAAGACAAAAGGTAAATAAATGCTCGACATGCTTCAAAAAGAAAAACACGGTAAAGTCGCCCTATCTGTCTGTTTGCAGACTCACCAAAGAAAAAAAAAAATGTCTATCGGCGTCCGAGCCCCTTACACCCCTCAGCCTCTGAGAGGCTAGCAGTAAGATGTTCGTGTAGTTGCTTCGCGAACTGAACGATATTGAACTGGTCGTCGGACGCTATCAGATCAAAAACGGATAGCTCCCCAATGAGGGAAACACCAGCTATGAACTTCAATGATGCATCGCAGAGTGCTATTGCCACCACGGCATCAACGAGTGCCGTAAAATCACCGTTCTCCGTTTTAGTCGCGGGGCAAACACATGCCACCAAATCTGTCAATTTGTTTCCATCGCGCTTGTATCGCCAAGGTGCTCTGCGACGAAGGAGCGCATGCGCGGAGGTGAGCTTCACCAAAGTGTTCATCATGCTCACGTCGGTCGCCTCAGCGCAAATAGCCTTGGCTGTGAGAAAAAACGTACGCAAAAGCTCAGAACATGCGGCAGAGAGTTGTGGAGTGAAAGGCTCTTCAACTGAAGGGGCCCGAGCCCACTCACGCCACACGTGCCACTGACTTGTGCAGTGCTTGACGAAATCGGTCATGCCGCTGTCCTGCGAACCACCACTGGTAGGCACCATCTCCAGCAGCATCTCAGCTTGCTCTTGCAGTGGGCGGAGGGATGATGGTGAGGCGTGAACAACAATATCCCCACGCTCTAAAAACTGAAACAGATGACGATGCTGCACCAACATTATCTCTTGTGTCACACCAATAAAAGCCCCTACGGCTTTGCAGCTCACTCTCTGACCACCTTCTCGCACGACGACGTGCTCGTGGTGCTCGAGAACACCTTGAAGGGCATGCAGCGCAGATGCCGGGACGGCATGCAGTGCGGGGGCAAAGAGGACTCGCTGGTACACCATGTTCAGCAGCCCCGCACGCACCGACTCGACACAGCTTCCCGCCTCGACACTCATCGGGAAAGCCACTTGCGAAGCCGGCGTGCGTGCATATGTTGGGAGAAGTGCTCCTTCCACACCGCGCACCAGGGGTATCACCATACCAGTTTCAGCGCCAAATTCCAACAGGAAGGTTTGCAAGACGGAAAGAGCATCTGTAGGACCAACTACGGAGGCCGCAATAGCGGAATCCGGCACCGCTGCAGACGTGAGGGAAATGCCAACAGCAGCCCATAGTGCTGTTGGGAGCAAAAAAACCTTTGAGGCTGCAAAGAACGCTTCCACTCGGCACACACCGTCTTGTTGGCGAAATCCACCTGTTGCCTTTGCTGAAGCGAAAGCCGCGGCTCCTGCCACACCCTTCCAGGAGCACTTGGCCTGACGAAGGGCGGTCACCTCATCTTCCCCGTTAACATCAAAGGCGCCATCGCCGTTTACACACAAGAAGGATGGGGATGTCGTATCAGCGGTTGCGGTCATAAACGGATCCTGCGACCACTGAGAGACAAATTTGGCCGTACGGGCAGCACGAGCTTCCAACACGAGCTGCACAGACGATGAGAGATCACCACGTTTGCTGTAAAGCATAGTACCCAGATCATTGCTAGCCGCCTCTAGCAGACCCACAACATGAACACGTTCCCCAATAACTGCCAACGCCCGCCTCTCGGACTGCGGCAGGAACGAGAGATCTATCCAGATCGGAGACTGCCCCATCACTCCATTACAGTTGGCAAGCAGTGGCTGCATCCCAATCATGGGCTCTGGCTCAATCGATTCACGGTGAAGGAAAAATATGCCTGTCACATGGCCAATAACCTCCATCCACTGCCCAGCTCCTATTGCAGCGTCTCCTGGCCGTTGGAGGGGCGAATATAATGGTTGGGTCATGAGGAAGCTAGGCAACGCACTTAATGCGCTACGCAGGGCCACTTTTACTGCACCAGAGCGCAACGCCTCCCTAAAAGCACGAGGCCACTGCACGATCCACGGACATATCGGGCATTCACCACCGTTCTCAGCGGAGTGCTGAGCGAACGAGTGCGCTGCCGTCAACATGTGATGACAGCCATCCTGCAACGCGCTACTTGGCCTTCCACGTGTCGTTGCGTCAGCCTCATTGCGCAGCCACCGTGTCAGCGCCTCACCCATGACGTCGTCGAGACGTCGCGGATGCTCCACGAGAAGCGTGCCGAGCGCTGGGCTCCGCGCTGAGACCTCCAAGGTGTGTAAGATCAGCCGTAGTGTGAGTGGGGCTTCACTCACCGCGCGGCCTTCTGCCGCCTCAGCTAGCTGCGAGAGCTCCGAAAGCAGCTGCCCTCGCATGCCTTCATCTTCCAGCAGAAGACGCCACACCGCGTCCTCTTTAAACTGACGTGGAGGCATTGGTGGCGGCATGAAGAGCTGAGCATGTTAAAGGAAATGCCACGAGAGAGAGAGAGAGAAGCTATATGGTAGAAAGCAGGAAAAGAATGAGACAACACTCCCACCAGACGCTCCTTTTGGAATGCGTTGCTCATTTCATGTGAAGTGAGGGAACATTGGTGGCAGCACCGTCATTTAACAAGGAGGCACTGCCAAGGAAAGGGAGAAAAAAAAGTACTCCTAAGAATCAAATAAGAATATTTGTGCCCCTTTGATTCTTAAATAACCCCAAAAGAGCCACACAAACCACGAGAAAGCAGTAGGAAGCAAAACAAAAGTAAAATGAGTTAGGACGATTTCCGCGAGCGCACCTGAGAGTGCAGTGTGGGTGTGTCTGTGGTCTATGAGAATGGAAATAGTAGCAGCAGTCAGGAACATTCTCGGCAAAAGGAATGCGCCAAGCATGGCGCCGTCAAACAGTCCACACACACCCACACGTATGCAGACAAATCAAGAATGGAAAAATAATACACCATCCAAACAAGAATCCTCCGGCAAATCGCGTAATCAATTAATCCGGCGGACTGCACGACCCCGCAGCGACGGGCCGCCGTCGGGGCCGCGGTCAGCTCGCGGACCCAAACACGCACGATGCTCACGCGGCGGCTTCGCGTCCTTCACAACGTCACACGCCTCCACCGCGACAGCCCAGACCTCCGCACGCTGGCGCGGGAGCAGCAGCAACATGAGAAGCCGAAAAACGAGGTACGCACACACACACACACACACACACACACAGAGAGAACAGCAGGGCTACTCGTGCGGTCGCGCCTAATGACAAAGTCCACCATCGTCATCCAGCCGATATGACGAACACCCAAACGCTTTAAGGGGCATACATAGCTAAGTGCTGAAGGAGAACAAAAAAAAAGACGTGCGGTGTAAAGAATGGGCCAATTCACATGTAAATAAGTGATCGTAAAAGCGGTTTCGTGCAACAACTCCCATTACCTTCTTTTTTTTTTAGTGCTTCTAATGTCTCTTCAACAATTCAGCACCAACGAATGCCAGCAGACCCAAATCCCTCAATTCCCGAGAATGCCGTCACAAGAGGATGGTGGAATGGGAATGTGGTGCCACCGAAGCTCTTCCACAAAGGATTGGTGGAGCCTCTTTTCCTTTGCGAGCAGGCGCACACCCTTCGGCTTGCTCTCATCACTGTTGCTGCTGAGGTGCGCCAGTTCATCGTATGCGCGGGCGACGACAACGTCCGTCAGCTGCGCCACACGCAGCTCTGTATCGTAGATTTGATGCCTTCCCGGGGTGACGTCGCGGGCGACAGCGGCAGTGGCAGTGGCTCCATCCGTACAGCGCGAAAACACACCGCACGGGAGGGAACAGGCACGCCGTGTCAGCTGCGTACTGTTGGCAGAAACGTCTTCCACATGACATGCATCGGACGACGTCATTGTCGTGGGAAGTCGTATCCACGCCCGCCGCGCCGCATAGAAAAAGCCGAGCAGCTGTTGCAGATCAGCAGACACCACTGACTCCTCCAACAAAGGCAGTCGCTGATGCAGCTCATACCTGAATAAATCCTGTCCACTTTGTACACGGTGAAGCTCATGTCGTGTGAGCACTGCTTTCTCACCCTGGCCACCTCTCTCTTCCACCTCCATCTGACACAATTTGTCCCAAAGCACAGCGGTGATTGCCAGCTCTGAGCACCGAAGGAGAGAAGGGAGCAGATACGCCCAGGTACAGGCGGCGTGGCAGTGCTGCTCTGCTCCCGCTCTGGAAATGTCAGGGAGGGCATGCAGCATCAATTTCCTGTAATGCAGCTGACCGCTTTCAGGAGAGGTGGCCTGACTGGCGTGCCGCAACCCACGCGCCACGCCGAGAGCGCGGTTGCCGTGCCGCTGGGACTCGGGGTTCATGTACAGCAAGTCACCCTTTCCCGCACCTCCGTGAACGCGGCGTGACGGACTCAGGCAGGCTGACAACGAGCAGCAGGCGGACGACGCAAACAGGGCTCCAGCGGGGAGACGGCGCCGTAGCCGCGCAGAGGCACCGGTCTGCATGCCCAGAAAGAAAAAAGGAACCCAGAACTGGATCCACCAACACCACGCGCAGCACCAGAAGGTTGAGGAGGAGAACCACAAAAGATAAAGAAAGAAAGAAAAGAAAGATGAAAAGACGTAAGCTCCCGCAAAGGCCAGCTTTTCTCACCCAACAGTCAAGTTAAACCAAGAACAAATATTCATGCTATGCCACAACACAACAACTCAGGCTGCTGTTCGATACCTCAGGAACGGGAGTATGTGTTCCTTGCGAAGTCATCCTCACGACTTCGCTCGAGTCGGTACCAATAATGATCCTTCTGTTGCTGCTGGTCTCGCGCCAAAATAGACCAATTACGCTCATTGTTGCGAATGTTCCAATGTGGTTCGCGAACATAGAGTTGTCCACTCGTCACCTTCATAGTCGTATTTCCATGCTTCTTTAATGACTCTTTTTCCTCATCAATGATGCGCTGCAACTCTGTTCGCTTCTCGGGATCTTCTGTCGTGACGAGAAGCCGCTCTATCTCCTCCACGCGTCCCATCACCGCCATGTTGTGTTTCCGCACCTCGTCACTAAGTGACTGCCTCTTCGCATCGGGAACACCCACTTGCCGCGACGTCGTTGTCGCTGCTACCGCCGCCGTATCTCCTTCTACCGCCGTTGCAAACGCAGGCCCCTGTCGGAGTTCGTACTCGAGGTGATTGTTGATGTTAGGTGACGGAATGCGGTTCTTGTGCGTCACGTTGACTTCGTACAGGACGGTACCCGCGGCCGCGGCAAACACGATGCCGCCGGCGCGGTACGGGTGTTCTCGCACCCACCGTGTCGTGCGGTAGAGCCACGCAGAGACCTCCTTCCCCAGGAAGGGGATCGGCACAACCTTCTCACGCATGTGGTAAAAGCCTTCGACTGCTTTCCGTCCTCTCGACCCACTCTTGTTTACCCCCTCCTCTTGTCTTTTACAACAAAAGTGCAAACAACAGAAAAGCAAAACAAGACGAAAAAAATAAAATAAAATAGATGTCCCGCGGACTACATATGCGCCGCAAGGGAAAACACTAAGGCACCGAAAACCAGCAGTTTTCAACACCCACCCCTTTTGCCATGTCATTACACAGGTGATTCAGGATGCACCTGGAGCCATCTGTGTCACCCCAACGCCATCTGAATTCCACAACAAATGACTACAGACTAGCGTCACAGCGTCCCTGCAGTCCCTGCGGCCGCGTCAAGTCTATCCCTTCACCATCCGTAATTTGCTTCCTCTCCCTTGGAGTAAGGAAGGTATAGGAGGGACGCACGCGACGCAGCTCCGCGTTGCATGCAGCAGGAAGTGCCTTTTCTGATGCTGCGGGCGAATTGCCCAGGCACTTCTTTACTCGGATAGCTTGCTGAAGGCGCAGCAGAATCCCTGCGTAGACAGCACAGCGGCAAGCCTCACCACCAAGTCCCAGGCCTTCGCAGCGACGTAGCTCATCCTCGAGGAAACACAGAGGAAGCCACAAAAAGCGCACACCATAGAGCATAGTTTCGGCATCTTCTTCAGTGCAATGACAACTTGAAGCAGTTGGTGCTGCAGCGGAGAGCCGTACAAACGACATCACTCGCGAAGACGGTGATTGCCCATCCGAATGGCGCTCATGATACATCTTACAGGCAGCAAATGCAATCCGATATGCCGGGATCTCAGACGGGAACTGCGTGCACTCCAAAACCACCTGGAGCACAGAAAATGGGAGGGGCGCCAGCATTTTGTACACATCGTCCCCACTATTTGAACCGAGAACAACAGATGTCGTGTGAACCTCTTTCACGACCCCAAAGGTATTGTACCCTTCATTCAGGCGCGTCACTAACAAAAAGGCATACTTCTCAAGTAAGTTACGACTCGTCATCCCTAGAGCTGACGCGACCAGCTCCTCACCAAACGTACTGGGGAGCTGTTCGCGGCAGTGCCAGCACTTTGCTCCTGGAAGGTTGTAGAAGGTTGTCAACAGATGTACAAGATCCACAACAGCATCTCCGGATGAGCCCACCGATGCGTCTATAGAATAGGTTCCTGCTTCCTTGTCTATTCTTTTCGTCGCTGCGGTGGTCTCACTCTTTCCTATTGGTACCACCTTATTCTCGACACTCGTCGCCGCTACCGATGCCCTACCCGGATGGGAAGCGAGCGCGCTACGCAGCGCCTCGCTGAGAGTCTCTATCTGTGTTTGCTGCCAGAGGAGAAGCCGCCCCCACTCAGCAACTTCGCTTTTCCCTGGGGAAGGCGGAGGGGGCGACGTTGAAGCGTCAGCAGAGGTCGGATGAGAATTTCGAGCAATGAGGTCACGCCTTAAGGAGCCAATTTGCTCTTGCAGCGCCACTAGGTGCTGCAACACGCCGTCGTTACTTAAATCAGTCTTTGCGGAGAGGGGATTAACTGGCGGAGGCGTAGGTGGCAGGTAGACAGGGACCGCTGCAATGTCGTATGGAGGCGGTACCTCACCACCAGCTGCCTTCACCTCGGCAGTTCTCGCTGTCGCTGCTGCAACAAGGGGCACACCGGAGGTTTCATAGCGCCTGTGTGGTCCTGCAAGACTGCTGCCAGTCACACCGCTGTTGTACTGGAAGATTTCCGCGTACGAGGGCGGTGGTGGTACCTCCATTGATACTCTAAAGGGTACCGACTCAGACTCGCTAGCGTGGAAGCCCTTTACTACCGTGTCACCTCTGTTCTTATTCGGTGTTTCGTTATAAGAAAAGAAAGAGCGAAAATGCAACTAGGCCTAGCTCCCACCAGGGGAAAAAAAATTAGACACCTCATTTCTCTTCATCCACCAAAATCAACATACTGGAAACAAGAAGACGCACTGGCCCATATACATTGCAAATAGCTTCATGTACGGTACATGTATCAGCTGAGGGTACTCACAGCACCCCTACCCCCCATCAACTGTTGCACCCGCCTAGATCTCTTCAGATGCATTTTGCTGCCCGACTGCTGGTTTATCTTCGGGCTCAGCATTTCCCGCGGCTGCCTCTGCTGGCACCTCCTCGGACTCAGCATTTCCTTCGGCTGCCTCTGCTGGCACCTCCTCGGACTCAGCATTTCCCTCGGCTGCCTCTGCTGGCACCTCCTCGGACCCAGCATTTCCCTCGGCTGCCTCTGCTGGCTCCTCCTCATACTCAGAATTTCCCTCGTCTGCCTCTGCTGGCTCCTCCTCGGACTCAGCATTTCCTTCGGCTGCCTCTGCTGGCTCCTCCTCGGTCTCAGAATTTCCCTCGTCTGCCTCTGCTGGCTCCTCCTCGGACCCAGCATTTCCCTCGGCTGCCTCTGCTGGCACCTCCTCGGACTCAGCATTTCCCTCGGCTGCCCCTGCTGGCACCTCCTCGGACCCAGCATTTCCCTCGGCTGCCTCTGCTGGCACCTCCTCGGTCTCAGAATTTCCTTCGGCTGCCTCTGCTGGCACCTCCTCATACTCAATATTTCCCTCGTCTGCCTCTGCTAGCACCTCCTCGGACTCAATATTTCCTTCGGCTGCATCTGCTGGCTCCTCCTCGGACTCAGCATTTCCCTCGGCTGCCTCTGCTGGCACCTCCTCGGACCCAGCATTTCCCTCGGCTGCATCTGCTGGCTCCTCGGACTCAGCATTTCCCTCGGCTGCCTCTGCTGGCTCCTCCTCGGACCCAGCATTTCCCTCGTCTGCCTCTGCTGGCTCCTCGGTCTCAGAATTTCCCGCGGCTGCCTCTGCTGGCTCCTCCTCGGACTCAATATTTCCTTCGGCTGCCTCTGCTGGCTCCTCCTCGGTCTCAGAATTTCCCACGTCTGCCTCTGCTGGCNCCTCCTCGGACTCAATATTTCCTTCGGCTGCATCTGCTGGCTCCTCCTCAGACTCAATATTTCCTTCGGCTGCATCTGCTGGCTCCTCGGTCTCAGCATTTCTCTCTGCTGGCACCTCCTCGTACTCAGCATTTTCCGCGGCTGCCTCTGATGGCTCCTCCTCGGACCCAGCATTTTCCGCGGCTGCCTCTGATGGCTCCTCCTCGGACTCAGCATTTCCTTCGGCTGCCCCTGCTGGCTCCTCCTCGGTCTCAGCATTTCTCTCTGCTGGCTCCTCCTCGGACTCAGCATTTCCTTCGGTTACCTCTGCCTCTCCAGCTACGTAAAGCGCTTCAGGTGGTTTTGACGTGTCGCCTGATTCCGATACATCCATTTGTCGAACCGTTAGAGGCACCTTTGCTTCATTTTCCGGGGCTCTTTCATGAGAGTGGATTTCCGTGATTGATGTGGACTTCCCCATTTGCTCCAGGATGTCAAGTCTATTCCTTGCCTCATACTTCTCCACCCTAGTTCGCACTCTTCTTTCATCGTCAGATATTCCCAGAAGTTTTTTCTCCTCGTAGAAAGTCTCACATAACCGACGGAACGCCTTACGCTCCTCCATTTGTTTCTCGAGGAAGCTGAAGTAGTGCTGTGAGTCTAGGGAGCTACGTTCCTCCATGTTTCGCTGAAACTGACGGTCAACGAGCCAACGACGCTCCGACACGCGCATGTCTCGTAGGAGACGCTGCAGCAATTCCTCTCGTTCCTTCCTCTGCTTGAGCAACGCTTCGCGTCGTTGGGCTCCCATGTCCTCAGAAGCTGCTGCCGCGGCCGCGGCAAGTGCTTTCTCTATTTGTGGAGTGAGTTCGCCGATCATCCGTGTGATACGGCGGAGTGTGCGTTCTCGTTCCGCTACCTCCCTTTCTCTGATGCGCGTCTCCACGTGTTCGTTCAGTGCAGCCTGCTCCTTGGCGTGCTCGTGCTCCGTGATGACATCTTGTAGGCGAGACGCACGCCAAAGTCGCATTCGCTCGTTAATGCTGGAAATCTCTTCCTCGACNGTGCTCCGTGATGACATCTTGTAGGCGAGACGCACGCCAAAGTCGCATTCGCTCGTTAATGCTGGAAATCTCTTCCTCGACAGAGGGAGTGTCGTTAACGACGTGACGTTGACTAAACAGCACGGAGTTAAGCACCGGACGACCAGCATCCGGAAGGGACTCGCTGACTTGTGTGTAGACAGTCATGTCGTGCAGCGCATCACTGACTATAAGCCCCTTTGCCACGTCCTCTGCTGCTGCTACGCCAGGATACACCGCCGGTCCCAATGGCTGCCGCACGACGGAGAGTGGGAAGTAGTCTGGCTTGGAAGGTTTTGGTGTGGCAGGCTTCTTCGGCTTCAGCGGCTGCCGCACGTCGGCCTTCTCCATCGCCGCCGGCGTCGTTGAGGGCAACATGCGCTGTTGTGGCTTGTGCGCCTTATTCTTGTTTTAAGTTTCTTGGGTGTTCTTCCGGTTGCGCTGCCTTCTTTTCCACGTATCTCAATACGCTGCTCGTCAAAGTGGGTACGGGAAGGAGTGATTCTAGGTAAAGGAGGGAATGGGAGGATTGAGTGATAGCGAGATGAATACGTAGCCATGCACATGCACATACCCAGATA